GAAATCAGTCGTCGGATGAACATTGCTAATAATAAACAACAAAAAAAAATTTTCGATTTTTCCGAGATTTTTCCAAGGGATTTCCCTTCAGATTTTGCGAAATTTTCGTTTTCGGCCAATAACTCCCAAACCGTCGGACATACGGAAAAATTGCATTAGACCTTTCTTGTAGAAGACGATGAGATCTATAATTTCCATGTAAAAATTTTTCGCTAGTGTCAATAGTTAACGAGTAATTTGCAAAAAACTGTTTTTTCGTTTTTCATCAATAACTCGTTAAATATTAATGCTAGCGAAAAAATTTTACATGGAAATTATAGATCTCATCGTCTTCTACAAGAAAGGTCTAATGCAATTTTTCCGTATGTCCGACGGTTTGGGAGTTATTGGCCGAAAACGAAAATTTCGCAAAATCTGAAGGGAAATCCCTTGGAAAAATCTCGGAAAAATCGAAAATTTTTTTTTGTTGTTTATTATTAGCAATGTTCATCCGACGACTGATTTCTTTTTAAAAAATGCGTTTCTAAAGTGCATAAACTTTTGGGATTGACTGTATAGCCAATACATCCTTAATTCAAGACGAGAAAAGAAGAGTCTAAAAGAATCATCTGGTATGTTTACTGTTGACCGAACGTGAAATATTCGTATTGGTTCAATCTTTTCCTCGATGTATCCGCTCTCAGCTACCTGGTGTTATTAATACGCGCAGGTGTCACGAACTCTTTGGAAACGTCACGCTCTGCTATTCCGTAGCAAAATATCACTCCCCTTTTTTAATCCCGCTGAAAATCCAGCGAAAAAAATCCCCGTCCACTAATACATACACGTGGTGGCCAACGGGCGGAAGTTCTATAAAATTGTCGACTCTCTTTCGCCCGTACGATTGTAGATCACGTCTGAATCGAATCTCTCCGTTCAATCGCGATATTCAACCGAGCAAATATTGTTCTTCATCTATGGCAAATACAAACCTTCATATAAAATGTAACAAAATCGACGATATTTTAGATGTTCGTATAGGCCTCATCGCTGTAACTCGTAAGATTTTCAGATCGATTAATTTGCAATGTACTCGTTCAGTTTCGTGTGTAAATTGTGAGAATGTAATCTGGAAACAGAATCAAGCGGCCTGCGTGAGATTTGTTAGAACCCTTGAACAATGCGTATCGATCCTATCCGGAACTGAGCCATTTGTCGGTTGTAAAACGTTTCACGCAGATGAAGGCGCGCATCCGGCGAAATTGCCACCCCTCCACCGGGCCTGATCACGCTCAATTTCGTCCTAACAAAACACGCGTGCTCCCGCGGACAATTGAAAAATAATATTCGCCGAGTTTATTTAGCCGTGCGATCGCCGGCGTCGCGTCGCGCGTCGGCGGGGCGTGGATCGTCGCAACTCGTCGGGGGATTAAAAATAATGTTCCGAGCGTGACCGGTCAGCCCCCGGGGGATTACAGGACGCCGTGGACCGACGCCATTGGACGCAGACGCGACGCCGCGGATTTCGTTCGCTGGAAAAAAAAAAAAAAGAATCTCGCCTGTTTTTCTTTCGTATCCTTCCAGTTCGGTTTCACGGGGGCTGTATTCCATTTAATTCCTCCCGGTCGCGACGAATTCCTTTTTTTAGAGCTCGGCGATTGACGCTGGAGAGCGATAAAGGTGTCGTGTGTTATTTGCTTGAAGAAGAATCGATCCTTTCTATGAAACTTCCTAAGGCTTAATTGCAATGAAGTGATCAGAAAAAAAATGGCAAATACCGACGTGTATCAATTTCCATTAGGGGAATATTCAATTCCTGTGGCCGACGGTAAAAAGAGCCGATAATTGCTTTTAACGGCGTACGTAAAAGCGGCTGACAGATTAGACCTCGATTTTCCTATTTTCTTTTCACCGTTGAATATGATTGACCAAGTATGAACATAATTAAAACACTTATTACCTGATGAGCTTAATTGAATATCTGATTATCACGTTCCACCCGACGTTTGATTTCTCCTCTTCGTATCGATTTGAAAGCACGTGGCTTTTTCTGTTATCCACGATAAAAGTGAGGGTAGATTATGTGTAAAGAATCATTGATGATGCGATGAATTGTGACAAGACTTTTACGAGAAAGAGCAACGTCGTGTATAGAAAAATATGATAAAAAAAAAGTGGAACGTCGCTTATCGAGGAAGGACGAGTTCCATGCAAGCTGCCGTTTCCCCACTAAATCCCAGTTGCCGCCCAATCACCTCGGTCGCCCTAAGGATCCACGGGACGCCAATTACGTCGAGGAGCGCGTCGCCATCAGTCAGCGAAATTTCCGAAACGTAAATATGGTCAGACAGTCGGTGCTGGTTATACTCCTTTCCCGGCGAGAGGACATTCCAGCTTCTGTTCGCCGTCGCATTCGTTGGGGACTCGTCTTTGCACACCTGCGTGCGCGTCCAAAGCGGAGGCCGACGACGCGACGCGCGTTGCGTTGCGTCGCTGCCGATCCTACGCGTCCTCCGCTAGCGTATAAGGTGTTCACCTGTCACTTAGACGCGTTCCAGCGGGAGCAGCTTCAATTACGCTTTTCCGTAAAGTCACTGCACGCGCGGTCCCTCGTTATCTCCCGGGCTGAATCGCTGCGATCCGGATTGATATCAAACCCAAAATCGAAATTTCGTGTTACGATTTTTTATATATCTGCAAACTTAAGACTTGTATAGATTTAAAAGCGTTTTATTTAACGTAAGATCTTGTGTATAAATGAATCTCATCGGTTAATCCGATTTCGCCTTTTTTGATCGAGTAATATAGCACGAACAATTAGCCGAGGAATTAATGGCTGAGCGAAAGAAGAGCCGACAGCGTTTGGGAGAGGGAAATTCACGGTGACTGTACAAATAGATACGAGTGAGACAAAGAGTGTTGGAAAGGGAGAGTGAGAAAGCTCTCGTGTGTACCCAGGGGAACTTTTCGAGGATTGTGGCACTTAACGGATGATTAAGAGGGCAAATAGCGAGCGCAACCCCGTTGGTTAACGTAGTTTCATCCCCTTCGGGTGTAACGCTCCCTGCAGGACCCCTCAGCGTGTCGGTATACGTTTAATCGAGTTACCCCCATTTCGTAATCACCCTCGGTCCCCGAGGGTTGCCATGGCGACCGCGGGCGGTCCTGAAACCCGATTGGCGGATCTTCACGCACACGTTAACCCCCGGCCACCCCTTCGTACGTGGCCTATTCCCCAGGATCTGCTCGTAACCACCCCGCCAAGCCACCCTTATATACCGGTTGGATTTACATTCAGTTTAACCTGGTTCTCCATCCTTATCCTCTATCCTCACGCCTCTTCTCTCTCTCGCTCTATCTCGTCGTTGTCTCTTGCCACCCCCGTTGAGTCGCTCCATCGACGCCGCTATTTTACCGAGGAGCGTTGTAAAAATCGCATAAAAGCTTCCAACAGCTTGGACGATTTATACGCTCGCGCTCTTCCCCTGATTCTATTCCGAAACGGTAACTATACGTGGCTTTTCTCTCGACGCTGGAATTACTTAGTCCTGGCAGAGTTTCCTGGATTTTGAAAAAATTGACTTGAAGTTTTTCATTTTAATTGAACAAGAATGTAGTTCAGCTATTTTAACGTATAGTGTTCTTTCTACTCACGTGTCTACGACCCTCTTAATGGAGCGTTACCTAGGGTCTTTCGATTAGATCTAACAAATTGGATTTATTAACGGCAATCGAATTAGCTGATGGCAGTTTAATGGGTGACAGTAATTGACGTTGTGTGCTCGAGAACGTGGGGGAGTGAAATTATTTATAGTATCCTCAACTTCGTGCAAACGCAGTTCTGGTCGAGCTGTAGAAACTCCTGTCGTCGGAAGAACAGTTTGTCAGTCGAAATCCATTGACGAGGAATCTGGCAATGGAGATGCATACTGCAAATCCTCTTTGAAACTTAACCGTCGCCAGTCGATATCCCCCGTTCACCCCCGTTGTCCTAAACTCCGGCTAAACTCCACGGACGCGATGGTATCACGAACCCCAATTTTCGTACCTTATATCCACCCCATCGCGAGATGATCTCGGCGCATCGCGTTGTGATCCCCGGGACGGAGGCTGATCCGGGTTTTGTCAAAACCACGTTTGGATCGAATGTTAGACAAACATTCCCCCCCCCCCTCCTTCTCCCTCCGCCCCTCCTCGGTTCTGCGTGTTTCCACCCCTCTCCGAGATGCGTTCGTCCAGCAGCCGGAGTCACAATGCTGATTTCACGCGTTGATAGTTCGAAAATGGAGTCCCTTGCAACCCTTCACCCCGGCAGGAAGCTGGAACAGGACAATGTGTATCTAACAGTCAATTCGAGGACAATGCTCGTCCCCATTTCTGGTGTTTCGCAGCAGTCGTTTCATCCCTTTTTTTCTCCTCCGACCGAGGGATTACACGGTCCATTGTAACCGGATACACCCCGTTCGAAGGGTGGCTTCCTTGATACGCTGGGGTGGATTATGACTAGTTGCCACTTAATTTGCCAAGGCTCGGGGGTCGTCCAGCCATGAACAGCAGATTGGCCTGGATCGATCGCGGAACGATACGACTCGTCGTCAACCGTTTGCACTTCTATTGCGGCGTGATTTGCGCAACGCGCTTACTGAAAGGAGCAGCTCGAGTGGAATCTCATATTTATTTCTCTCGAGGTGCATTTTACCGTTGGCTCAGCCGTACGATTTACTACGGAGTCAAAAGGATTGACATCCGCTGTTATTGCTGGGTGTAAATTTAATTCGAATTGATTGTGAAACGGAAATATGAGAAATCATAGATTTTCTGCTCGGCGTCAATAGGATCATTAATGTACAATGATAATTTATAATGTTTCTACAATTTGCATTATGTATACTCGTTATAAGTCATTTTATACACGTGTTGTGAATTATAGTAGGAATTAATCGAAATCTATGTACTTGGTTTTATATACTCAATAGATTACTAACTGTGATTTAATCGAAAGCAATTTTGGATTGTTGCAGGTGAAAGTCTGGTTTCAAAATCGACGAACGAAACACAAGCGGATGCAGCAGGAGGAGGAAGCGAAAGCGCAGCAGCAATCCGGTGGCGGAGGTGGCGGTGGCGGCGGCGGCGGCGGGGGTGGCGGGAACGGTAACGGGAACTCGAACAATAATCCTAATAACAAGAACACCCATCACGTGAGCAAATGGCAGCAGGAGACCGGTGACTATCACCACGAGGAGGAAGAGGAAGAGGAGCACATCGATCCGGAGGCGGAGGAGTGTTCGAGCGGCTCGGAGGCGTAGCTAGACGTTCTCTGCCTGGACTAAGCTGCCGGGAATTGCATTCGACTGATAAAAAAATCCTTGGGACTCGACGCCCCATGGGAAAAAACGTCAAATTTTGATGGAAACAAGAATCGTAACATGGTGCGAAAGCAGATTCGGTGGGAGTAGAGGGAAGGGTTGAATGAAACTGCTGGAACAGAAATTTGCATCGTGATCGTCCAAAGATTGTGCAACAATGTGGGACTTGGAGGCAGAGAACGAAATTGCCGAAGACATTAAGTGATGTGTAGAAGTTCAAAGTACGAGTACTGCTGGTAAAAACCAAAAATGCTCAAATGAGACGGGGAATTGTCGAATTCGTTGCTTAAGAAATTGCGAGAAATTCCATAGGTCATGGAATCAGCCGCGAACGCTGCGTAGACGAAGAGGCTAGGAATCGTTGTAATCGGCGAACGGAATCGTCCTGCGGATTTCCAAAGATCGCAACGTCGACTCGAACGGAACAAGAAAACCCGATACTTAATGGAGCTCGTGTCTCGTCAGAACAATCGTAATCGTTCGGGAGGATCGCGGAATCGGCGCTCGACGACTTCCGCAATCGTCGATAAACGACACCGGAAGACTGTGAATTATCCTGTTGGCAAGACTGACACAGTTGACCTATTTATTTCGGCGTACCTCGCTACGAATGCTCACGATGGAACTGGCCCGAGTCGGGTGTCCCTCCGCGAGAGAATCGATGGGACTGCGCGGACTTTTCAACATTTCGGAAGCTGAGTAATGGAGGCATTGTTCCTCGGGGTCGGGCAAAGCCAAATGGACAGGCTTCCGGCGGAAACGGCGGCAAACGTTTCCAACGACTTGGTGGACCGAAAACTTTTCCCTCCTCTCGATGGTATCGCGCCCCTTTTTATCATAGTTCCTCGATCAATTTACTAAAGGACGAGGGAGGAATATTCCTCGAGGGCATAGCGTCGGTACGTGGACGTCAGTTCGGGTCCACGGTTCCAGTTTAATCCCGGATGGATCGCCGGGTTCGTACGAATCTTGCCATAGATCGTCCATAGCTGGTGGAGCAGCGATGTACATAAATAAATATCGAGAGGAATCGTAGACTGTGATCCCCGCGGCGGATCAACCGTCCTGAGTCTTGCTACAAAACGACGAAAGGATCGATCCTTTATTCGAGAAAGGATGAACGCGTATATCTGTGAACGTGTGTGTGTGTATATGCGTGTTACTGTATCACTGTAAATAGTTCGGGGAGGAACACGAGGATCGCGCGTAGAAACGAAAGAACGTGAGAGAGCAAGAGGATGAATGCCTGTCGATGATGTGTGGACACGCGCGATACATTTGCGGAGAGCGATAATACGACGGGGAGGGGGAGGAGAGTGCCAAACTTCGTACATACCCTTTTTAGAGAGATCGAAGAATCCCAGTGTAAACGTGCGAATTTTACTTAAACGTCGTCGTTGTCCACGAGCGACCAGTATTTCCCTTTTGTCGAATCGATGTTCGAGGTGTACTGACGATTTAAATTATTATTATATCAATTACGTTAGTTGGACAGTCGAGCCTGGCAGCGGTGACGATCGTTCTCACGAAGGGTCGCCTTCCTTTTTTTCCTCTTTCTCGGTCCCTCCGAGGATGGATGTATTATCTCTTTGAGTCGGTTTCTCGGGGATGGATCGTTAGAAATTGATCCGGACGAGATTCGAATCGAGGGACCCCGCGTCGTTGGAAACTCGCCCGGATCGAGATGGATCGTGATCCTTCGGCGAACGATCGTGTCAGCCACGGTTCGACCAGTACGTTTTGTAAATACGTTGTACATAAAAGAATTGTGATTTTATTCGACGTGCAAAAAAGGCGTAGGATTGTACGGTCATTCTCGAATGATTCAGTTCGTGTTCTAACGATATAGCGAAATAAATTATATCATCTCTTCACGACATACACTTATGAGTTTCATTCACAAGCCTCCAGTGCGGAATCTTTAAGTATAAATCGATTGCATGAACGATTAGCACTATTTCACTCCTCGCCACAGAACAAGGATATTAACCAGTACACTTTATCAACATTTCATTTGATTAACACATCACAATCCAAAATACCGCAAAACTCACTCTTTTCACGAATGTCTCGTCAAACTTTGATTGCACAAAGAAACAAAAAATTGAAATATCTGTTTCTCAATACTTTCTCCTTCCTCGAACAATTTCCCCTCTGTTAACTTTTCAATGACCGCCGCCGCGCGAACTCTGCTCGGAAAGAAGATACCATAACTTACCTAGGCTGAGACAAATCGTTTCCACGGAAGCGTTGTTTTCTGCTTCTTCGCAGGCTACCGATCCTTGTCGATAATCGCTTTATAATCGCCGCTCCGAAGACGAATAATTACGCGAGGCGGCTCGACCGGCCAAGCCCCGTAATTAACCGCGGCGCGTCTGCCCGAAACAACGGATAACATATGCAGAGGCGAACGCTACTTACAAAGAGTCATTATTTTTGCCCGGGATTGCCACCTCTCCGCGGAGCCAACGGATTTCGTGAACTCCGACGGTAGCCTCTAACCTGCACTTATCGGTTGACAATATAATGGCGGCCCCGCTGCGTATCCTCGCGATCTCACGAGTGATTCAGGTGAAACTATTTTTCTTTTTTTGACTGCAGAATATTTTTTAAAAGAGTTTAAATCGGAACAGCTATAGGCAGTGCTTTTTTAGTTCGAGACATGAGACGGAATTTCAGTAATTTTCATACTGGATCAAAAATCGACACCCATTGCCAAGTAATTTAAGAACACAAAATGAGAGATGAAACGTTCGACTCCCCTTCGTCGATAATTTTGTGAAACACCGCAATTACGAGCGTTTCGCGAGCATAATGAATCATGATAAACGTGTGTAGAATTAATACCGGATATTAGTCGAAGAGGAACGACTACACGGGGCGATAATGAAGCGCGTTAATTGGGAAGGTTGACGAAGGGCCGATATTTAAGTCCGGTGGGGTGGAGGACGTCGATCGCCAATTAATAGATCTCATAGTTCATCGGTGTCTGCCTCTTGTCGACAGGTCGTAAGTTGGTTTCGAGAGTAGAACGTCGCTCCACCGGACGGGCTCATTAATATTCGTGCGGGCAGCCTCGTCCTTAATCGATGATTACCCTGTGATCTGGCAATTAGCGCGTCACCCGGTTCCTATCGATCCCCTTAATCGTCAATCTTGTCCCTTGTTGAAAATCCATTTCTTTTTTATTTTCTTCAAGGTTAAAAGAATTCTGCCTCAATCGGAATTTAATAAAAAAAATGAATCTTCAACGAAGCGATAAATTTCAAATAAGAAAAGCGATCGAATAAATTAGTCGCAAGTAAACCAAGTTATCCGTGAACGAGGATGATAGCAACACTCAATGTAAAATTAAGTCATTTTCCACTGGACTTTTATTTAAAGACCTGATTCTATGAAATTAAATATCTGCTGATAACTGCGAGCCTCATTCGAAATACCAGCTTCAGAGCATTTCTCGCTGAACAAGCTTCAACATTCAAGCTTCGAATAAGGAGAAGAGGTCCAGTATCAAGGAAAGGAAAAGATGAACGAAGAGGAGAGGAGGAATCCCGATGCGCGAAGGAGGTAGGGGTCGTCGGGGGCCGCGAGTTCAGAACTGCTAATTATGTAAATTACCGGTGTTGCAAATTACCCTCACAGTTTGCGTTCATTCTGCACACAATCCACACGGCCCCTGCACACCTCGCACGGAATCCATCCTCTCGGATACTGCTACTTCCTTCTATACTCCACACGAAAGAAGAAGAAGGAGGAGGAGAACAGAGAAGAAAGGATCTCCGAGTCGGAACGAGATCCTCCTGTTATCCCTCGAATCGTCGGTCGTTCGTCACAACCGGTACTCAACGACGCGTCAAGAATTTTGTTTGCTATTAGTTGAAGTAAAAGTGTACAGAAATATCTAAGCATCGATATAGATTACATTTATTTATTTACTCTTAAAAATAAATAAGTGACGACGTCCAATGAAGTAGTAATACAATTTCTATTTCTTATCATGCTCGTCTAAAGCACTGTTGTCTATAACACTGTACGTACGAACTGCGAATCAGATTTACGAAGACTATAACCAGTGCCATTAAACTCAACGATCGATCATCGCCATAAACGGTATCGCGTTGGTACCGATTCAACCGCACGTTGCTCGAGATTTCAACGATAGTAGACCGCATCGATCGCCGAGTAGAAGTTAATCGATGGCATAATCGAGCAGGCCAATAAGATTCCGCGATTCCGCGGGATTAATATACGACCGCGGCGCGGGAACGAGTGTATCATTAGCTCTATTTTGGAAACCTGCTGAAAGGTAGATAGAGAGCAGAAGTCCCGACGGGAAACCGGTTGCTAGTATCGCGAGGCCATTACAGAGACTCATCGAATCGATATGATTGAGTGGAACACCGTATCATTTAGTCCCGGTTACGCTGCACGGAATTCTGCGGTTCGATGGGAGAGTCGTAGAAATGATGCGCGGCTATGGAAACAGTGGTTCAGGAAATCGACAATAATCCATTTCCAGTCGTGAAGCCGAGAACCATGTGATTTCAACATGATCCGTTTATTTCTTTGATTTGACCAAAAAAAAAGTATGGGATAGATCATGTTATGCTGTACGTCAGCATTCAGAAGAGTCTCTGTTTTAAAACATAAAAGGAAGGATGGTGTAAAAAACGAAAAGAACATGAAGAGGCCTCGCGAGAAACTGGAAGAGGCCGAGGGCACGAAACGGTGTGCCGTCGCTCAAGAAGAGGACACGCGCGTAAATTAGGGAGAATAAGTGGCCAGGGTGGAGTTTGAAGAAGTTCGGGCACGCAGCCTCGTTTCAGGAAGTGTTTCGCAGATAACTGACGATTCCTTGGCGACTTAATGCCGGCGTTCGCGTAAATATCTCTCCGCGTGACGTGCGTGCCGAGCCAATCGGAACGGAATCTCTCCTTTTCTTCTACGGGCCGGCCTAAAAGCGTTCACGTGACGTCTTCACGTGTAGTACGGTCCTCGCGGGGCCCTGGTAATTAGACGAGCAACGACGAAATTCCCGGGCCGACCGATACGCTAATGGCTCGCGGTTAACCACCGATGCCGACACGTGTGTGATTTCCGCAAAGAATTGACCCGTTCGTTTCTTTCATTTTCGAATAATCGCTTCTGCACGGGACGTGCATTCTCTGCGGTTCCGTGTCCTTTAAAATTTCCCCGATGTCTCGTTCTGTGAAGTTTTAAGAAACCATCGCTGGATGAATGTCTCCGTTATCGCGAATCCGTGAAATAAGCCCAGTTCGCAGTAAGATTTGCAGATTGATACGCGAATACCCGCGAACGATATCTCTATACGAATGGCGCGAATATTCGCTCGGTTTTTCGCTCATCGAGACACGCGGGACCCGATAACCCGTGGACCGTGCACACGAACAAATCGTTTAATCCAAGCCGGGGTCCGATCGAGGTAATGACGGCCATAAACTGCAGCCACAGAAGGGCGCACGAAACGCGAAGAAGAAGGAAAGGAAATAGAGTGAGTGAGAGAGGCCAAGGTTTCTGGGCCCGAGCTGAATTGGGCCTGACAAGCGAAATGGGCCTCGTGGTCCCGGGCCACGTATACCTGAGCCTCCACCTTCTCGTCTCGTTTCTCTTTTCGTTCTGTTGCCGGTACGATCGTCGGTGCGTGTCCCACTGGACCGTTTCTCTTTCTCTTGTTTCTCGACGGACGTGCAACTCGGATGCCACAAGCCTGGGATCCCAGATGGAGAGAGGATCCGGTTCCAGGAATCGAGCGTGTAAAACATCGGTTAAAGGCGTGCTTTCCGAGCGGGAATCGACGGGAAAACAATGGGTCGACAGCTCCTAAAGTGTCTGACAAATGTTCCGCGCGTGTTGCCCACTCCGCGTTCGAATGAGGCTCGCGGATTTTTTTAATACTGGAAAATTATCGGTCAAAGGGACTTTTAAACCCTTCGCTTCCGACGAGATTTCGTAGACGAGAGAAATTCAAATCATGTTAGATCCTATCGTGTAAATTATTCTGACGATAGCGAAAGCAAACACGTTAGTTGCCTTTTCGTAATACGATAGAAAAAATCCGAAGTCTATAACTTTGACGGCGGCCGTCGTTCCAGTGTTAATCCAGCTTTAATTTCGACTTTAGGAGCCTGCTCACCTGATCGGCTCGGTGGGCCACGGCCACGTTCACCGATTCCGTCGTCCATTTATCTCGCGGCACACATTCGTGGAAAAAGCTCGTGTCGCCAGCCGTGTTATTCAAATGCAGAACATCCGCACCGACTCGTGGCCCGGGTGACTTATTGGCTGGACCGATCGGAAACGCGTCTTCGCAATTTTTCAAGAATACAGAGAGCTCAGTAAAGATTATAAACGTCAAGTAAAGAAGCGTAATGTTGTTCGGAAATTCTTCGATCTGAGGAGGAATGCGTGAGAAGGTTCTAAAGATCGGCTGGCAAGGAGAACCTTAATTGCCAAGCTGCGGTTTTTCTCTGGGCGTTGATCGCGTACTCAGAAGTCATAGCGTCGTGGGTCAAGCGACCCGCTACGACTCGAGTCGGTAGAATGGCGGTCGTGTTCACGGTAGACTGAGCAGCATCGAGGAAGACGTTAGCCGCGATATGATATTAGAGGCGAGAACTCGCGGTTCCGATCGATAGTAGAACGTTAACGGCGTGGAAATCGCGACGACCTGCAATTTTCCTCGACGCTTCCTGAATCGCGATAGGCGCATCCAACTCCTCTGTTGCCGCCTCCCCCTTATTGATTCTTGCATCCATCCTGATGAAAATGTTACGGTACGCGCCGGTGCATGTGCCGCGAGATATTTCTGAAACCTGGAAACATTTTTTTTTAAAAACGAGCTCCAGTCATTCTCGACCCGGTTCAACAAACTTCAGCGAAACGTATCTTCGTGTCGGTTTTTTCTGTACGTACCCTCGAGCTCGGCCGGCCATCGAGGGATCGAAGTCACCAGCGAACACAAATTCGCGTGTCCCATCTAATACCATAAATCTGTCATCCGGCGGCGGGAGAACAAGCTCGTTTGACTCGCGCTGCTTTGTCGGTGTGGAACGCGACGGAATTC